TTTTTTTTTAAAGATTTTATTTATTTATTTGAGAGAGAGAGAATGAGAGACAGAGAGCACGAGAGGGAAGAGGGTCAGACAGAGAAGCAGACCCCTTGCTGAGCAGAGAGCCCGATGCGGGACTCGATCCCTGGACTCCAGGATCATGACCTGAGCCGAAGGCAGTCGTTCAACCAACTGAGCCACCCAGGCGCCCCGGAAGAGAGTGTCCTAAGCAGACTCCACACTGATTGTAGAGCCTGCTTGGGGCTCCATCTCACAACCCTGAGATCACAACCTGAGCTGAAACCGAGTTGGAAGCTTAACCAACTGCACCACCCAGGCACCCCGGCACAGGTTTATATTATTGATGGCATTAAGATGATTAAAAATTAATGAGGTTAGGGTGCCTGGGTGGCTCAGTCGTTAAGTGTCTGCCTTCGGCTCGGGTCATGATCCCAGGGACCTGGGATCGAGCCCCACATTGGGCTCTTTGCTCCGCGGGAAGCCTGCTTCTCCCGCTCCCACTCCCCCTGTTTGTGTTCCCTCTCTCTCTGTGGGTCTCTCTCTGTCAAATAAATAAAATCTTAAAAAAAAAAAAAATTAATGAGGTTAAATTTCCATGAATATGCTTTTTTTTTTTTTTTAAGAGTGTGGTGGGGGCAGAGGAAGGGTGAGTTTTGTTGTTTGTTTGTTTGTTTGAGAAAGAATCTTGAGCAAGTTCCACGCCCAGCACAGAGCCTGATATGGGGCTCGATCTCACAAACCTGAGATCATGACCTGAGCAGAAATCAAGAGTGGGCCGCCTAACTGAATGAGCCACCCAGGGTTTTTAAGAGGTTATTTTCCTGTTTGTTCAAATACTACTGCTACGTTCCTTTAGATTTCTGGACTAGTTAGGTTTATGTGCAGAGATTAGTTAAGATCATTGTGTCTTTGGAACTAGAGCAGGCCTAGGTTTTTCGCCTCTTGAGTTCATTATTTGTGTTTTTGTATTTTTCTGTCTGTTTGGTCTTCTATAATCATCAGCCAAGGAGGTGTAGGATAGGCCATATTGTTGAAGCTTTATTGGAACATACTGCATTCAAACCCAAATGAAAAATGTTTCCTAAACTTGTCTAGCTGTTTAGCATAGAAAATATAAAAACAGTAGGTTTGGCTTTGAACACCCTAAAGAAAATGTTTGATTTAGGTACAACTGTTAAGTGTCTGCTTTAATATTTGGAATCCTGTTTTTTATGTAAGCTCTATGCCCATTGTGGGGCTTGGAATTCAAGATCCCGAGATCAAGAGTTGCTTGCTCTACTGATCGAGCCAGACGCCCCTTGTATTTTTACTCTAAAATGAGCTGCTAAAGGGATGCCTGGGTGGCGCTAGTTGGTTGAGCGCCCGACTCTTGGTTTCAGCTTGGGTCTTGATCTTGGGGTCCTGAGATTGAGCCCCATTTCTGTGCTGGTCTCCCTGCTCAGCAAGGAGTCTGCTTGTTTCTCCCTCTCTCTGCCCCTTCCTCTGCTTGCGTGTGCATACGCGCTCTCTCTCAAATAAAGGAATAAATCTTTTTTAAAAATGAGCTACTAAAACATCTTGGTTTTTTTGTTGTTTTGTTTTACCTTTTCTAGGTTTCTCAGTTTGGGTGCAGGTCATTTGCCTTGCTTTTTGATGATATTGATCATAATATGTGTGCAGCAGACAAAGAGGTATTCAGTTCTTTCGCTCATGCCCAGGTCTCCATCACAAATGAAATTTATCAGTACCTAGGAGAGCCAGAAACTTTCCTCTTCTGTCCCACAGGTATTGTATATAATAGCTTTATATTTAACTAGTCTTAAGATTTTTTTAGAATTTATTTTAGAGAGAGTGGGGGGAGGGGCAGAGGGAGAGGAAGAGAGAGTCCTAAGCAGACTCCACACTGCTTGCAGAGCCTGCTTGGGGCTCCATCTCACAACCCTGAGATGGTTTCAAAGAATCCTGTATGGGTTTTACTGTGTTGTCCCCTCTCCCTTTGGTGGAATTATTTTTCTAGAAGACGTTTCTCAAGGCCTTACACTAGAGAAATTTTAGGGACTAATAAATGGCAACTGAACAAGCAAAAGATTTCATGTATTTTTAGTGCTGGAAGTATCTGAACAGTACATTTTCACGATTGAAGGAAGGATAGTATTATCAAAATGAAAAACTAGAAAAAAGCAAATTTACATTGCTTTTAACTTAGTCACTTCTCATTTCCTCCTACTTGTTCCTTTTTTCTGCCTGTGCATATCTGTATCCTTTTTCACTCTTCCCACTTCCATCTGGACTCTTATTTCCAGTAGTCAGCCTAGAAAACTTGCCAGTTTTTCCTTCTTTCCCTCCCCTCTAGGTCCTTCCATTGAAAATATATTAGCCTCTCTTAGTTCCCTCTCAAAATTTGGCTTATAAGAAATTTCCCCCTGACTTGATTTCTTTTTCAGGAAGAGATAAATAAGTTCTAAGAAACTTTAGTCTGAGTTTATTTAACTTTGTGTGTATGTCTGTTTTCAAGTACTATGAACCGTGAACCTTATCTCAGTGGTCTGATACTACATGAGTACTCAGATAATGTTTAATAAGATTATGTGGGAAATACTTAATTCACTGCAAATTACAGTTTACTTGCAGTTGAATACTAATAGCCATGGGCATAATGTTGCATTCTTTCTGTTATGATATTACCAATTTGTTCTATTTGGCCTCCTAATTGTTATTGAGAAATGTAGGCAGTTCAGAAGTATGTAGAAAATGCTAAAAATTCCAATTATTTCTTTAGTAAAATTGTGTTTTTAGTGACTGTAGGGTAATAAGGATCGGTCTGTATTATTTGAGGAAGAATATCAGATTTTATGAATTGAGTCACTTTTATTTTTTTGAGTTGATTCTTTAATGAACTACCCACTTTGGAATTTAGAATTGATAAACATTTTTCCCCCATTTAAAAACCCATGACCATTTTATTCCTGACTATTTTACTTAATTTTCCCTCCTACATTCAGAATATTGTGGCACTTTCTGTTACCCAAATGTGTCTCAATCTCCTTATTTAAGGACTGTGGGTGAAAAGCTTCTACCTGGAATTGAGGTGCTTTGGACAGGTAAGTCTTTAAGATTTACACAGTAAAACTTTAGATAACTAGAACTTAAAAAAATTGGTTGTTCTGCTTAATTGGATACTTTTTGAAAACTGAGCCTGAACCAGAAAATTTTGTTGTTAAAATTCTCTTTCTTTTATGAAGTATACATTCTTCATTTAGTATAAAAAACATCTCTGAGGATTTTGCAGTGAATCTGAGTATTGGTTGTTGATAAATAATAGGGAACTGGACTAAAGGATATTGATCTCAGCCTTAGGAGAGTATTTTATTTTATCAAATGAAAGCTATCATGCTGGATTGTCAGCTAGTAATCACTGTGTTGTATTATAATGGAAAAAAATTGTTCACATGAAAATTTGTTTCTTAACGTATCAGTTTGAGGAAGCCTGCACAAATCTCTTATCTTTTTACTACTATTTCCATTTCTAATAATGTGATCTGAGGGAATACTGGGGGCGGTTGGGTAAAACTGAGTAAAAAGACATGTTGTGTTACTTTGAAAAGAAAAATTGTTAGAAAGTATATATATAACAAAATACAATAAAATATTGAATGCAGTATATTTTGAAGAGTCATGTTTGAGGGTCTTTTAACAAATGGTCATCATTATTTCTAGGTCCCAAGGTTGTTTCTAAAGAAATTCCGGTGGAGTCCATTGAAGAGGTTTCTAAGATTATTAAGAGAGCTCCAGTAATCTGGGATAACATTCATGCTAATGATTATGATCAGAAGAGACTATTTCTGGGGCCATACAAAGGAAGATCCACAGAACTCATCCCACGGTTAAAAGGAGTCCTTACTAATCCAAATTGTGAATTTGAAGCCAACTATGTTGCTATCCACACCCTTGCCACCTGGTACAAATCAAACATGAATGGAGTGAGAAAAGATGTAGTGATGAGTAAGTAGACAACTTTGGGGGGAGAGGTGGAGTTAACTAGAGCTGTTGGCAAGTATGTGTTCCTTTGTTGTCATAATTTAAGAGGTTTTTAGAGTGTGTTGTTTAGTCCTGTGAATGAGATATATATGTGATTAGAAGAAGGGCTGAGTGGCTTTGGACAAATTATTTAATAACTTCTTGGGCTCAGTTCTTTGCTTCCCCTTTTCCCCCAGTTCTTTGCTTTTTTTCTTTTTCTTTTTCCCCAGTTCTTTGCTTTTAAAATGTGACTTAGTCTTTGAAGTCTGAGTACTAGACAAGTAGTCTTTGAGTGTTCTTGTTATCCCTAGAATTATTCTGATTCAGTTTGTGTTTTCTGGTGATTTTTATTAAATGGGATATTTAATTTAATTTATTTGAGAGAGAGAGCATGAGCACAAGCCTAGGGAGGAGCAGGCAGAGGGACAAGGAGACTCCCCGCTGAGCAGGGAGCCTGATGTGGGACCCAAGACCCTGGGATCATGACCTGAGCCGAAGGCAGATGCTTAACCGACTGAGCCTCTCAGGCACCTCACATTCATTGACATTTAAACACATATTAAGATGTGGCAAGTGCACCTTCCTGGCACTAAGATGCAAAGAAGAAAGTAGTCCCCACTTTTGAAGAACATAGTCTGGTTTTGAATAAAGCATGTAGGCGACTGTGCTGTGGTTTGATAAATGCTGAGGTAGTTGTCTACAGAGTGCTGTGGGAATACAGAGGAGAGACTGTTTATTTCTGCTAAGCAGAAGTGGTGGTAAGAAACAGTCTCATAGAGGAGGGAGTACTTAAACTGCATCAAAGTATGCGGAAAGGTTGCTGGGCCTTAAAGTGTTGGTGGGCAAGAGATGAAAACACCGGACACTGAAAATTTGAAGTTACCTGAATTTTGGCCCATTTAGGAGGTGTGGAAATGTCACATTATGATGCTTTGGGTGTGGTATGTAGTCATATAGTCGTGTTTTTTCCTGAGTTCTGTACTACTACTTCAAAATCTGTTTATTGGGATAATACCTCCCATTAAGGCTCATTGTGGATCTCCCCATTAAAAAATAAAATAAAATTTCAGTCTTCTCTGTATATATGGCGCCTACCTCCTATATCTCTTTTTTCAAAGATTCCATTTATTTGAGAGAGAGCACAAGCAGGGGGAGCAGCAGGCAGAAGGAGAGGGAGAAGCAGGCTCCCCACTGAGCAGAAAGCCCAACGTGGGGCTCGATCCTAGGACACCGGGAATCATGACCTGAGCCAAAGGCAGATGCTTAACTGACTGAGCCACCCAGGCTCCCACCTCTACCTCCTACCTCTTTTAAGGCAGAGCATGAAGCACATTAAGGAGTAGTAGATAATTAGCCAAACTGGGCCATATGCAGGGAAATATGAAGGAAAGCTAAGAATAGGAGGGTTTTGGATACTAAGCCAAAGAGTTCAGACCTTATTTATTTATTTATTTTTTAAGATTTTATTTATTTATTTGACAGAGAGAGGCACAGTGAGAGAGGGAACACAAGCAGGGGGAGTGGGAGAGGGAGAAGCAGGCTCCCTGCCAAGCAGGGAGCCCGGGATCATGACCTGAGCCGAAGGCAGATGCTTAACGGCTGAGTACACTCTATGTCCAGTGTAGGGCTTGAACTCAAAGTCACATGCTCTACCTAGTGAGCCAGCCAGATGCCCCTATATAATATATTCGTTTTTTACACAACCTTTAAGAAGTGTAAAAAACTATTTTTAGTTCTTGTCCAATACAAAAATGGACGGCTTGTTTGAGACCAATCCTTAGAGGGTTGTTGATACATGGGAATGCACTTATTTGCATCTTTGTATCATTTGAGTCAGTGGTGTCCCCTTTGTGGAATAATTTAAACAACTCTGAAGATAGCATAATTCTCAGTATTGTGCTTTGGACAGAATCACGCAGGTATATGAGGTATGTCTTAGAATATACAACATACTCTGATTATATTGGCTTGTGACGTAGGCTGGAATGGCCTTTGCCCTTCAAAGGTACTTTACATTAAAAACATTAAACAGGAGCGCCTGGGTGGCTCAGTTGTTAAGCATCTGCCTTCGGCTCAGGTCATGATCCCAGGGTCCTGGGATCGGGCCCCATATCGGGCTCCCTGCTCCACGGGAAGCCTGCTTCTCCCTCTCCCACTTTTCCCTGCTTGTGTTCCCTCTCTCACTGTGTCTCTCTCTGTCAAATAAATAAATAAAATCTTAAAAAAAAAAAATTAAACAGAGGTATTCTTTGCCTTGCTCCATGTATTTTATTTTGAGGTTTCTTAGCCTTTTCCTCAAAAGATTTTCTTTCTGGGGAAGAGTTTCACTGACAGTTGAATTTTTTTTACATTGAGGTATTTTTGACAGTTAAGAATTGTATATATTTAAAGTGTACAATTTGATGATTTGAAATCGCGAATAATCACATTCAAGCTAGTTTAACCATATCCATCACTGAAGATAGTTGCCACTGCAGTATTTGGTATTGATAAATATTAATATTCATTGAATATTAATATGAATTTTAAAAATTGTGTTATGAAATTTAGGAGCTGTTATAGACAAGTTCTACTATCATCTATTTGAAATATATTAAAAATTCATCACAATTCCTAGCCATGATTCGAACTGACCTTTACATTTTTGAATATTTGTTTTATTTCTAGGCTCCCGCGGGGCTTTCTGTGAAGTGAGACCAGATGATAAAAGAATTCTGGAATTTTACAGCAAGTTAGGCTGTTTTGAAATTGCAAAAATGGAAGGATTTCCAAAGGATGTGGTTATACTTGGTCGGAGCCTGTGACATTTGTTGGCACTTTGAACTATCCAAAAGTCTCTTAACTTCACCTGGTGGGTGGTGGTTGGGGTCTTCATACAGTTGAGCCTCTGGAATGGCAACAAATCAGCCAATTGGGATTGGAAACGAAGACTGTGTAAAACTCACCAATCACACTTTGAGATTACTCACTGGTTGGAAGATAGTATTGATGCAAATCCTGTTTGAAACAGATGTGGGCCTCCTTTCTGGGTCTTGTGTTAGGTGCCAAGACCTCTATATGGGCTTATAGGGAGGGGGTCTTCAATAAATGTAGTCAGCACTGTGTTCTGCATCCAGTGTGGTTGCATTTCTCATCTAATAAGAGTAATCAAAATCATTTGTCATCCTCTTTGGCTTATTGAATGAAATGTCTTTCATTCTTTGGGGACATGTCAGAAATGAGAAAGATTTAGTAGGTTTCAGAGGCTTCAGGGTAGAGATTCCAAGTGGGATGATTGTTGGCATAGTTTTAAGATGAATAAATGATTTTAATTTGGGGCAGTTTTTCTGCTCTTTGTAAAGCCATGGCCAATTGTCTCTTGTAGTGACCATTGGTTCAGGCATGTTGTGCTTTTGTAGGGACAAATGTGCAGTTTGTGGCAAAAGCTTAAAAATGGCAAACTTGTAAATTTTTGTATATAAACTAGTTGTAACCTGACTTTTGTGTTCACTGTTTTTGTAATTTTTTTTTCCTTTTGAAAATGAAAGGGTGTGGTTCAGGATGGCACTTTGAATAATGTAAATCAGTGGAAGATGGATTTTCTTTACTTTTCCCTTTGTTTTGTTTGTTTTTTGGGTTGTTTTTGTTTTTGTTTTTGTTTTTTTTTAGAAGTTTTATTATTTTTGAAGTGCCTCCCACCTAGGGCTAGGCCATGACCACTTTGGGTACGAGAGCCTAACTTCATGGGACGCAATCTGTTGCAAGGTGCAGTCACTTCTGGAAATTAACCTCGATGCAGGTCAGCATGTGAAATGTTTTGACATCTGTCAAGTAGGGTTCAGGGACTGATTGGTCCCATATGCCCTGAGATCAGTTGTCCTTTAATGTCAAGACCTGTTACAACTGGTTTTATTAAATCAGAGTCTTTAATTCTTGCATGTTTGTATCTAATTTTTAAAAGAAACAATGAGCACACTTTAACCAATGACTTATGGTTACCCTTTTAAAACTTTTTCCTTTAACCACAGATTCTGAAAGCTCCATGTATTTTGATTTAGATTTGGTGTTTTTAGGGGTTCTGAGCATGAGGCTAGCAGGTAATCTCTGCAGGGTTCATTTTTTCATCATGGCTGGCTGACTTTTCCATGGATTCAGAACAGTATTTTGTTATCTTGCTTCCCTGCAGTTTTGTTAAATCGGCTGTTTTACTTTGATCTGAGGTGGGAGGGGCAAGGAGAAGGAAACCTGAAACATTTTCCTTCATGAAGTTCCTTCAGTGTGGGCTTGGAATCTTATCTTAAAGCATTGTACCTAGTGGTATCTAGTGACTTTCAACCAGGGCCTCTGAGTGTGCACTGAATTTGTAAGATGAAGGGAGGGGAAGAAGGAGACCTCTTCATTTTCAGGGTAGAAACCTTTAACTGATAGAAGGGTATGATGTTGGAAAGCTGGAACCAAGTTTGCATTTTCAAGGGCTAGGGGGAAGGGAAGATCTCTACAAAATACTGTTTAAAACAGCTTAGTGCCACTTGGTTGTCTCTTTTAAGTACATGTTGTACACTAGTAGACAGTTCTAGCATTTATCTGGAGGATTTCAGGGTCAACCTATGGAATCAGGATTTTTAGCAAGTTTGCTTGTGGTTTTATCTTGGCTTTATAATAATCATTTGGCTGGTCTTCTGGTCATAGATGCTAACTATGAAACAGATGTCCAGGCCTATACTTTCATCACTCTAGGATGGTAAAGTGCTACGCTCTCTTCTATGGTTATGAATATTTATTAAGGTTGGAATGACATTTCATTGATTGTTTAGATCACAGCTCAGTTCCTGTAGAAAACGAACTGTAAAACTATCTGAAGACCATGCAAGAGGCAAAATAAAACTTGAAGTGAATGTGTGTGGTGGTGTACTGTGTAAACCTACTTCTTGTTTCTGCCTGGTACCTTTTCTCCTGCCTTTCATGCCTCATCTATAAGCACGTATTCTCCACAGCTGTTCAAGTTAGGGGCTGCATCTTCCCATTCTCATCTTCAGCAAAAACACTTCCTTCCAGATTTTCCTCAAGGCAAGCAAGGTAAAAGATGAAAGTAGACTAGTCTTGGCCAAGCCACTCTCTTCCCACAATTAACAGCCTGGGCATGAGTTAGGGCAGCTAGTTTGAATGAGTTCCCTTAATCTAGTGGGATAAGGAGTACAGTTTCAGTTTATCAGATTCTTTGGTCAAAAGGTGAATGATGGGAGTTGGAGAGTTGCCCTGCCCAAACTATGTGACAGAGGAGTCTAAGGTGGAAGGATGTTTGGGTTGATTCGTAATAAGCTCCAAAACGTGCCTGCCAGGAGTAGCATCCCCAAATCTGATGTGATATCCTTTGCTAGCAAGCTCCAGCATCAGGGCAGCATCTGAAGCTTAATAAAGCTATACCTTCTGGATAGTAAACGTAAGGTTGTTAGAGCAGGAAGCATACTAGGAAGAGGACCGAGTAGTTCAAATAGAAAATACCTGTAGCTGAAAAGTCTTTCAGGATCCTCGGCTCTCCTGGAGCAAAGGCAAATAGCATGATTCCTTTGCTTTCATAAGAAAAGCGCTGCCCTGAAATTCGCCTTTACGAGGGGAGTTGGAAGTGTTTACACTTTTTTATCTATTCTCCCTTTAACGAAAGCTTACCTGGATCGGGGGAGTGGAGACAGCAGAGGGTGAGAGGAACTAGAGAAAATGGGAGGCAGGAGCCACCTTCGGGAGCCGTGGTCATGGAAGTAAGCAAGGGTATTAACATTAAAAAGAAAAATCCATGCTTCTGTGATGTTACTCCCCGCAGTCCCGACACAACAGTCTGACCAGAGGCCGGACGGGCTCCCCAGGACCGGTTGCGCCCCGGTCCCTTCTCTCTCAAACGCCAGCGGCTCCTTTAATGGGCGGGGCCGGAGCCAGCGACGAGTCCCTCCGCTTTGTACGTGTCGGGGGCGGAGTTCCCAGACGGCCCTTGCAGCATGGCCGCCGGCGCAGCCGCCGCCTTAGCGTTCCTGAGTCAGGAGAGCCGAGCCCGGGCCGGAGGGATCGGGGGTCTGCGGGTCCCGGCTCCGGTCACGATGGACAGTTTTTTCTTCGGTATTGAAGAAAGGAGGGGATGAAGGTGGTGCTGGGGCGGTCGGGCAGGGCTGAACAGGAATGCAACGTGGGTGAACACGACGTGGGTGGGGGCGAAGGGGGCCCCCCCGCACGCTGCAGCCCAAGCGGAAGGGGGCGGTGCGACCCCTTCTCCTTGTGTGCAGGGAGGGGCCCAGGGCCGAGTGCCCCAGGTGTTCCTAAGAAGTGGGCCCGTAAATGGCCGGTCTGACCTTGGCTACACGTGACAGAGGTTTGGTGGAACGCTCAGACACACACTGTTACCTCTTCCAGGCTGTGAGCTCTCCGGCCACACCCGCTCTTTCACCTTCAAGGTAGAAGAAGAAGATGATTCGGAGCATGTGCTGGCTTTGACCATGGTGAGGGGCGGGGAAGGGTGGTGAATAGTTGGTCCAGAGCAGGCAACTCGGGGGGCCTCCACCTGTCCCCCCAATCCCTTGTACTCGGAGTCACCTCTTCCTGACCCCCACATGGGCGATTCCCTGGCTAGGTGATCCGGGGACCACTGGGGCGGGGCAAGTTCTAGGGTAGATGCCTCCACTTGTGGTGCCAACCCTTGTTTGGGGAGACCCAGAGGCCCTGTGTACCCTTCCCAGCTCTGCCTCACTGAGGGGGCCAAAGATGAGTGTAATGTGATAGAAGTCGTGGCCAGGAATCATGACCACCAGGAGATTGCAGTCCCTGTAGCCAACCTCAAGTTGTCCTGCCAACCCATGGTGAGTTCCCCTGCCATGCTGGGTGATGGAGGTGGGGGGTAGGGCTAGGGGTGGGGGTGAGGAATTGAGGACTGAAGGACTAACTCATCAGGAAGTTGGGCAGGCCAGGCCTTCATCCTTGTCTTCCTTCCAGCTCAGTTTGGATGACTTCCAGCTCCAGCCACCTGTAACCTTCCGCCTAAAGTCAGGTTCTGGCCCTGTGCGGATCACTGGGAGGCACCAGATTGGTGAGAGCCCTCTCCTTTGCCTCTAGTGGATTCTCCATCAGGTCTCCCCCACTGCTTCACACTCCTGCCCCATCCCAGACTTATCTCCTAGTGCAGGTCCCATACAGGCTATACCCTCCACTTTCTGTCCTACTCGAGCCTACCTCCTGCATGAAACCTGTCCCAACTTCTCCACCTCCATTAATGTGGTCTCCTTTAGCTCTCTGTCATCTTAGTATCTGAGGTTCTTCCCACCTAGATCATAAGCTCTGGGAGGTCAGGGTCCCTGCAAGCCTGGCACCACAGGGCATGAATAAATGACATATGGTATGAAGGGGGTCTGGCTTGAACCTCCTCTTTCTTTACTGCTTACATTTCCACCAGTTACTATAAGCAATGACGTTTCTGAGGAAGAAGAGAGTGAAGAAGAAGGTAGTGAGGAGGAGGAAGCTGAGTTGTGCCCCATCCTGCCTGCCAAGAAGCAGGGGGGTAGGCCCTAGCCTCCTTGGTGAGTTGGGGGAAGGGGTCCAGCAAGGTCTGGGATGAAGTAGGACAAGCAGGTTGAAGGCCTAGATGCTGACCCCTTGTTTGCTCTTCTCAGGTCAGCTAGCTACATGTGCCATGCACCATGTTCCTGTACAAGTTTCAAGAAATTTAAATGTGTCTTCTCCGTTGAAGAGGATGG